GTCCAGTCCAGTCCGGTCCAGACAGTCCAATCCAGTCCGGTCCAGACAGTCCAGTCCGGTCCGGTCCAGTCCGGTCCGGTCCAGACAGTCCAGTCCAGTCCGGTCCAGTCCAGTCCGGTCCAGACAGGTCCAGTCCGGTCCAGACAGTCCAGTCCAGTCCGGTCCAGACAGTCCAGTCCGGTCCAGTCTAGTCCAGACAGTCCGGTCCGGTCCAGTCTAGTCCAGACAGTCCAGTCCAGTCCGGTCCAGACAGACTAGTCCGGTCCAGACAGTCCGGTCCGGTCCAGTCTAGTCCAGACAGTCCAGTCCGGTCCAGAGGCGGCTGCACCACCCAGACCAGCTAAATGACCCAGAGTGGTTTTATTTACTCAGGCAGTGGGAGGACGGCCGCCTGAAGCAAACACTCTAATGACAGCGTGTCGCCGCTGATGGAGAGGAGGGCAGCGAAGACGGAAAACAACGAGCGGCGGCCGGCGCTCCGCCCTCCAGGAGAAATGACCCGTCATTTGGGGCGCCTGATGTTTGAACTACCACAACATGCAGAGCCGGAGTCGGACAAACATCGGTCTGCAGGAATGCCTCCGTCGCCACGATGCGTTCAATTACCTTAATTCTATGTTAAGATCTGAACTATTCGGTTTACTAAAGCTGCAGGCAGAAGAAGCTTCAGGTCTCCTGTGTTTTTCTGACAGTTAATAGAAACTTATTTCTTTGGCATAAACAAAAAAGATGAACTACTCAACTTTTGTGACCAGATGCACTGGAGTCAATCAGAAACCCACTGATAGCCGACGAAGGAACAAACACCGAACACTGGTGGTTTGTGGTTTAATCCTTTTAGTTTGAGGAAATTATAGATTTAAGACTTTAAAAGAACTGAAGAGATGCAAACTTTGAGCCGAGATGGTGACATGAGTTTGAATCTTCAGGGTGTGGTGCTAGCTAAATCACAACCTGTTTTCATGAGTACAGCCAGTAAAATTTTACTGTAAGCTGTGCATATTGTTATGTAGTTGCTAAGCAATATTTTTTCTTAAATTGGCCCAAAATATTACAAGATTTGGGTTAACTTCAGTCATAAAACATAAACTATCCTTCAAACAGTTCACCCTCTGCAGTTGAAGTTTGGATGTGAGAATTTGGGGTGAGGAGCGCCGCAGCACCCCCTGCTGGATGTCAAGACATGCGCATCTAAAAGTAACAGAAAGGCACCAACGTTCCCCTGTTGGTGTGCATGTTTCAAAGATAACTTAATGATGAAGTTGTTCTGTGATAAATTCTAAAAACAGCAAAGACTCTATGGCGTTGGTAAAACAAGAGGGAGGAGGAAACACCGGGATTATAGAAATTCAGCATTTTTAAAACATGAATGTAATTTTATAGAAAGAGCTTTAATTAATCTATCTTCCCAGATGACATAAGCTAACGCTATCTGTTTAAATATTAGCCTCACATCAAGGCCTTTCTCTCAACTGGATAAAAAAGTGTCTAGTATTTTCGCATCGAGTTTGACATTTTAACACGGCGTCAGTCACCATGGACTCCAACCAGTCTGACTTCTGACAAAGTCAGACTTCTCTGTGAACTGAAACCCTGTTTGATCACAAGACGATTTACTGAAGCAACCGATGGATAATTTCCCTGCAGGGCACTGAAGTCGGGTTATAAAGTTGGTCTTTTAATCTCTAAACCAGATCAGAGGAGCCCTGACAGTATTTATCTATGTGTGATTGAGCTAAGCAATCAACCGTGATCCCGATTGGAAGAACGTTGTGTCCAGTGTGTTGGAACACATTCCTGAAGATTTCCAATTTTACCCAATTAAACGACTTATTTCTTCCAGACCGATTTCATTCCTGCAAGTCCCTCATGGAAAAGGTCGACGCATGTGAGATGCACAACTACTGGCGGACATGTTGTCCTCATCAGTCCAAGTCAACATACCCCCTCTCCTTTTTTCTCTCTCCAGCAGCTGTTTCTTCAGCTCCTCGATGTCGTTCTTCAGCTTGGCGTTCTCCGCCGTCAGTCTCTTCTCCTCTCTCACGCTGGCCTGGACCGCTGCAACAAAAACACCCTTAAATATATAAATTACTTAGAAGGGTTTGTGTGTTAATATAAAAGTTGTTCATCTTCAATTCAACCTTTTTTCACTAAACAGACGTAGAGAACAGAATGAGTCCATTTTCAATCAAAAGCTGGAACTTTTCTTTCTAGACAAATCTGCACTATGAATCTAAATTTAAATAAAATCACGATTTTGCACACATTGAGTATGTTGTGATGCTTTAATTTAAATTAAAATGAGGGAAATCATATTTCCGGATCTGAATCAGAGCCCACCGCCCCCTTGGAGTGGTGTGAAAAAGTGTTTGCCTCCTTCCTCATTTCCTGTTTATCTCACTTCAGTGTTCTGGAACATCAAACCAATTTAGATACTAGCCAAAGACTGCACAAGCAAACAGGAAAGTCAGTTTTTAAATGAAAGTGTTCAACCTGCATGTTTCTGTGTGAAGAAGTGGATAAAAACAGCCTGCATGGCAGCGATTCAAGATGAAACCACTGCTGAGAAAGAAGAACATTACGGCTCGTCTCAGTTTTCCAGAACATCTTGATGATCTCCAAGACTTTTGGAAAAACAGTCTCTGGACTGTCGAGACAAAAGTTTAACTCTTTGGAAGGTGCGTGTCCCGTTACATTTGGTGTAAAAGTAACACCGTATTTTAGAAAGGAACGTCAAACCAACAGTGAAACACGGTGGTGGCAGTGTGATGGCCTCCAGTCCTCCAATGCGCCTAAATTACAACAATTCTGCAAAAACCGAGTGGCCAACTTCAAACCGGAAACGAGCCGAAACTGAAATTTATGACGATGACCAACGTCAATTTTCCCATGTAGGTGTTTAGGTATTTTTGTGTTTTAGAAAAAAAAGAACATTAGTTTTTGTCTTTGTGGCTGTATGAAGGTAAGGTTTGTTCATGTCTGTTTAAAGAGCTGCGCTGTGTGTACAGTCTGTAGTCACTTGACTTCACCCCATGCAGTCTGTAAGAAGAGAAAGAGACAGTGAGGCCGAGAAAATGGAAAACTTTCAAATGTTGATGCGCCGATAGAGCCGGTCAAGGAGGAAGAGGAGGGAGAGGAAGAAGATGAGGGAGAGGAAGAAGATGAGGGAGAGGAGGAAGATGAGGGAGAGGAGAAGCGCATTTCCAAAAAAGGGGTTGTCAATAGTTTGACAATATTTGGCAACGTTTTTGGTTTAACAAGGATGCTGAAAATATATCGAGCTGCTCTCCGGGTGAGCTGCTCTCCGGGTGAGCTGCGCTCCGGGTGAGCTGCTCTCCGGGTGAGCTGCGCTCCGGGTGAGCTGCGCTCCGGGTGAGCTGCGCTCCGGGTGAGCTGCGCTCCGGGTGAGCTGCGCTCCGGGTGAGCTGCTCTCCGGGTGAGCTGCGCTCCGGGTGAGCTGCTCAATGCATCATGACATTTCACCCAGTAGGTCAACATTCCTCCAAAGCTGGAAAGACTCAAAGCCAGTATCACAAACACTTTACTGCAGGTGTTGCTGCTAAGAGCAGCCCAACCAGTTACTGGGTTTAGGGTGTCCACAAATTCTTAAAAAGTCTGAAATTCATGTATATAAAGTAAAGGCCTTTAAAATGGACAACATGGACGACTTTCAAACATTTCTTTGGAGATACAGATCTTAAATTCCATTCATAATGGTCTTAAAAATCTTAAATTTGAGGTGGTGAAACCTGCACACACCCTGTTTTCACACAGGATCATGAAGGTTTGGATTTTTTCTTGTATAATAATAAAGACATTTTATTGTATTGTCTTTGACTAATATTTGAATCAGTTTGATGTTCTGAAGCACTGAAGTGGGACAAACATGCAGATAATATCGTAAAGGGTGCAAACAGTTTTCACACCATCACTGTGTTTGCTAACGTGAGGATGAGCATCTTACAGGCTTTCTCCTTCAGCAGCTGGACCTGCTGCTTCAGGAACTCGATGAGCTGGTCGGCTTCCGCCGCTCGCTGCTCCAGCCTCAACAGCGAATTGGGAGTCGACATCTTGATCAGGGAGCGAGCGACAAACCTGGAAGGAAACAGAAACAACAAACAGCCGTGTTTATGAAACAAGACGCAATCTGCAGACCAAAGGGCTGAACGTGCTTCAAGAAAAATAACTAAAAACAAAATAAAGTGTTTTGAATTGTAGTAAACAGCGGCGCACAGTGAGGTTAGAGTCGCAGGGTGAACTTCAGTGACTCCAGCTGTGTACAAACAGAAGCGGAAGATGAACATTTGAGCTCCAAAGCCGACATTTTAGAAGAGCTTCACCACAGAATCACCACAGAGTTCAGGCAGCCTCAACAAAAACAGGAGGCTGTAGTCTCCTGTTGGTCAGACTTACAGGCCGACTGCAGGATACAGATCATAACCGAAATATGCAACATGAAGCAGAGTAATATATTTATGCAATTGGAGCTGTCAGCTATTAAGACAAATGATGAATGCAATAATATTGGTGAATTTTGCCACAATGAGACGATCTGTGATAAAGTAATTAGAGCTGTGCCACAGATTATAAATAAAATCCAATTTACAATTTTAATCCATTTCTTTTTCTCACTTTCTTTTCTAAAAAAGAAATTACAAATGACATAAAATATTGAGAAACATTTTTAATCACAGTAAGACTTAAAGCTAGTTGAGACGTAGCTGGATATCTGGGAAATTAATACATTTTTATGCGTTTTGGCTTTTCATCCACACAAAAACTCCACTAAATATCATTAAAATTATTATTTATAAAAACTCAGACCAAAGTGGATATTTGGGAAAAAGAAGATGTAGGATCCTGCACCAATATGTCCACATAGTTGCTCTCTGGGATGTTTCTGGATGTTTCCCCAGATCCAAGTCTCTCAGGTCTGCACATAATTCATGCTTGGAGTTTCTGTCAACTATTGGGCCCGATATAGACAGGTGTGCGTGTGTGTGTGTGTGTGTGTGCCTTTTTGATTCAAGTCCATCCAGCCAGCTGAATTTACCACAGGTAAGCTTGTTGCAATAAGCAATAAATCAAATAACAGCAAGCTCAAATAAAGTGAGCTTGATAATTTATATTCTGATGATTAATATCTGTGGAGGGCAGTTTTGTTTATAGAGACATCATAATCCAATTTATTTATGGTTTCTGTTATGTGTGCTTTTTATTTCAGCTATATTTATCGTTTTTGGTTGTTGGGTTTTATTTTCAATATTTAAAATATCTTTCAGTTCCAGTCTTAAGTGTTCTATACAAAATTAAAGTTTATTGGTCTTTGAGAGTGTGAATTTGCCATGTTATGCCAAATATTAATATATTATTAGAAAATGGTCTCAAAACAACAATTTATCATGCAGCAGAATTTGCTATGGTGAAAAGCCTGAGCTCTATTTAAGCTGCAGAAACATGTCCAGGATGATCAGTGGAAACTCCAGTCTGAGCTTCATCTCAATGGGTATGAATTACAATATTACATAAACTTTATTTCTCGGCTTTCTATTTTTAAGAAATTTGTGAAACACTCAAAAACTTAAATCCACATCGTCCTGATGGGGTATTTGTGTATAAAATCTTGAGGAAAGAGATTAATTTAATACAATTGGTAATAAAGCTCGAACAAAATGTGTGAAAAGTGAAGCAATGTGAATGCTTTATAGATGCACTGTGTATGTAAAATAAAGTTCTGGAGAAATGAGTGCAATAATGACAAATTTAATTAAAAATGTATCAAGAGCAGCGTTAATTCAAAGCTACAGATCGGTTTGACTTTGGGGAATAGAAATGAATAGACTCCGAGTCGGGGCGGAAGAAGTTTTTCCGATGCTGCAGAGTGGAGCAGAAAATGTCTCAGACATATTACAGGAAAAACAAAAGCTGGCTGGAGATGAAAACTGAGGAAATTAAAAACACAGAAGGGCTGGAGTTGATCAGATCAGGGATCAAAGCAGAAACTGATCTGAATTAAACAGCTCCAGTGGTGAAGACATCATAAAAAAAAGAACGAGTGAAGCTCTGAGCACTAAACTGTGTATTAGGCATTATTAGTTGTTACTGCGCAGCTAAAAATCGGCCCACACAGACGGTTCAGATTAAACATGGAAAACTGCCACATTTATTTAGTGCTTTCTTGCCAGGGTGTGGAAGTGTTTCCAGCTTTATGGTTCACTTCCTGAGAAGAAACAGTCACTAGGAATGCACCAAACAACCTGTTTGCCAGGCAATATGGAGACAGAGAGTCAGCGCCACCTGCAGGCTTCAGGAGGCTCAGCACATATTCAGTTAGAAGAAGCCAAGAGTCAGACTGGCCTGGAAACAGGAGATAAACCCGGCTGTCCTCTTATATCCAACACTTTTAAAACATTTGGGAGTCATGATGTATGATTCATAAACTGATGTAATGAGTTCAGGTCATTACGACTTCCAGGTTCTGTCTGCAAAATCTAAACTCAAACTATAACTCCATAACTAGAAATCATCACTATGCATGTTTTATATGTGTCACAGCTTAATTAGCTCCTCAATATTTAACCAGAAGAACATCTAAATCCATCAACAGGGGCTGCATAATATATCACTAACATATTGTAATCGCAAGATCTATATGGCCAATATTCTCATAGCAAAGGACAGTTTGGAGTGCAATAATTGTTGGTTAATATACGTTAAGAATAGTTAAGTTGTGTTTCCATGCTAAATGTAATATTTAACCAATAGAACAGAAATGAAATGACATCAGACTTATGTAGCACCTTATCAGGTCATTCAAAGACACTTTACAATAGAGGTGTTCCGATACAATACTGATATCGGAAATTGGTCCAAAATCAGTCAAATGAGTATCAGAATATATCGATCTGCATGTAAAATCTCTGATATAAGCACACTGATAAAAGCACTCGCTCCAGTATTTAGTCTGCTCCATGATTTCTATCCTGCAGCAGACCCATTGGATAATATTATTACATGGGCCAGTTGTTCTCATATGTATTGTGGTTGACTGTTGTTCTCTGAGTAATATCACTTGATCAAGCCTGTTCTAACATTTCACACTACAAAATAAGTAATAAAAATATGTATGTATGATTCGTGCTGATATGATATTGTGTCAGTATCGGCCAATACTGACAGCTACAATATCGGTATTTTAAAGAGAAAAGTTGTATAGAGACACTTCTTTACGATGGCAAACTACTGGATTGGAGTCACATTATTCTATCAGAGGAAGTCTGACAGAAGCGAGGCTGGTACACCGGTGCCACCAGTGAAGTTTACCCAGGGACACGAAAACGTGATGGACGCGATGAGGGACTGGAACTGGCAAACTGACAGCAGGAGGAACTATTATCTCCATAATCGCCCAGTTTATTTCACGACCACAAACGTTCACACCAAACACAAATGTCGATGCCAAAGATGCCAAAGGTTACAAAGAGACGGAACAGGTTAGGAACAGCTAAGTAAAGAAGAAAGAAGAAAACAGGCATAAATTGCACCTGATATTGTCATTGCAATATTTGCCAATATTATCGCCATTAATCTACCCTCATTTACGGTCACTTTACATAAAACATGTAGCCAGTTATAAATCATTTGTGATTTCTAAAGATATTCCATGAAACTGAAAGTAATGTAGTGATTGGGGATATTTTAGCACAAACTAATCATGTTTACGTTATATTATCACGTCTTACTCCTATTATGACAGATTAAACTAAATAACAGCTCATATTATGGCGGTATTTTGTTTACTATATTAATTAACTTGGAACATTTCCTCAGCAGGCTGAAATTATGAACTTCAGTCAATGTTGCGTCAGTTAAATCAGCTTATTTCACTTTAAGCTACATTTAGAACTGATAGTAGTTAGCTGAACGTTACAAATGGCTTATCATGTACTACAGTAATTAGTGTCATAACCAAGACAAAATAAAAACAAAAACTTACATGTACCACTGGAATCCCAACACGTTTTAAGGACAGCGGGCGCTGCACAGTTAGCCTGGTACTGATTTACGAGCAGGCATGTCGGAGGAAGCCCCGCTCTGTTAGGGCCCCAGCCTGTGTAGATCTCCACACTATCCGGATAAGAAGGAATTTCTACAGAGGGGCGTTTGCTGCGCACATCCGGATGCTGTAAAAATCGATGATTGCTGATTGACTGAAGGCGGCAGCGGAAGTTGCCTGTTTTTCTTTTGTGTTTAAAATTAAATCACATCAGTTAAATAAAATTAAAGTACAAAAAAAATGTTATGACGACACTAATTTGTTTCATTCACAACTTTCTGCGGATTTTCTTTTGTATGTACTTGTATTTGCTTTGTCTCACAAAATTAACGTCACTCAGTATATTAATTTCTCTAACGCCCCTCCCCTCTGAACAGGTGTTACCATGGACATATATTATATTATGTCTATGGATCCCCCCTCCCTAATATGTGACTCCAGATGGTGCTGTTTGAAAGCTAGAAATACAAAGAATCACGCTATCACAAACCCGACTTTATGATAACTTATAGCAGAAGTGTCCAACCTTTTCGGCAAATTGGAAATTCTTGGGTGGTAGTGACAAAATTGGATTTTTTAAAACTGATTTTTATTTTTATTTTTTTATTTTTTACATTTTACCTGTTGTGCCGTAAACTAACCACGTATTATTTTAAGGATACAAGCAAAGTCTAGCCTAGTGAAAAATAATCTGATATATATAGAAAAGGGATCCATAAATCACTGTAGATCTAAACACTAAAAAGGGTTTGCTTGGTATAAAAAACAATAGTGTCCTAATTTTCTCAGGTTGATTATCTTCATCTAGAATGTTAATGTTTGTGTTATTTAACAAGTCCGGAATAAGACTCACTCTAAATGTTTTTATCCAAGTCTAAATTTCAAATGTTTGAGGTCAGCATTTACTACCAACGGAAATTTAAAGCAAAACACGTGGTTAATAAAAGATGAATATTTTATGATGGATCTTCCAATTTTGTCTGTATCTTCCAAATTGTTTCCATCAGTGACAAAAAAACCCCCCAAATGTGTGTTTAGTGTGGAATTAATTTATTATATTTATTTTTATACAATATCCAACAATAGAAAGAAATTTCAGGGAAGGTTGGACAGGAAGGCATATGGTTTTAACTTACTGAATATTTTCCTCTTCTTCCAAGCAGTCACTTTTTCTACAATCTTACTTTACTCATAAAGTAAGGCCTTTATGAAATGAATGACAATGAATATTGATGAAGTCAGTCAGCATTGATTCCTTTCTATGATACACTGAGTACATTTTTTTTATTATTTCATGTCCTTTCTTTGTTCTTTATTCAGACAATAAAAACAGCCACATCAATCATTTTACACATTTCTGTTTTATTAATATTCATAAAAACAAAACAGCAGGCTGAGATCTAAAACATGTTGGGAGTATTTGAAATGTATTCTGCTGTTGAAAACGCAGCTATTTCTGGGCTGAGCCCCCCAACGTTTCAGGATCCTCTCAACGCCCCTGCATCACATCAGAATATGAATCTTTTTAGTCACTTTAAAGAATATAAAAATAATTAGAAATATAACCCACAATTGACCTGCAGCTGTGGAGGAATAAAAACAAGTTTTATAAAAGATCATTTCTCATTTATTAAATAAACATTTAAGAAACGTTTTCATCTGGGGCCCACGCTCGGTAACATACAGTGTGTTCGGTTTTTTCAAAGGCATCATGGGGACAGCAGCTAGAGTAACATTTAAAGAGGAGGCCTTCATACCTTCATCCCCATGCATCTGCATCTATATCCATCGTTCTGTCTTCTTTCAAAGCTTCAGCAGACATTTAAAGGTCCTTCAGAGCACCAGACATCCTCAAATCTGTCTTCATCAACATACCAAATCAACCAAATCAACCAAATCATCCTTCCCTCCCTATTCCATCTGAAGGCAGTTCCCATTGTTGATGTGAGCCGGGATGCAGAGGTTCAGGTTATCCACCCTCCTGTAGACGAAGTGGAAGACGTGTGCGAGTGGCCGGCTGTGCAGCTCAGCTTTGATCTGCTGGGGGTGTGTGTCGGCGGCGAGCTGCTGCCTCGTTTCCTCGGTGATCAGGAACAGCGCGTAGTTCTCGGGGTCGGGGATCTTGAACTTGTAGGCGCAGAGGGAGCAGACCTCCTCCGCCGTGGTGTACGGCTGCACCTGCAGGGTTTTAGCTGTGCAGCCCAAACCCACCTCCTGCAGGGCGACCCGGAGAAAGTTCTGTGGAAGGAAAACTCACATTATAGCTTCATGAAGAAGCAAAGGAGAGTTTACGTAGGGTCTGTATTTAGGACCACTGTGCTGTTGGAACAAGCAAATGCTAAATGTTGGCTTGATGTGAACCTGAAGGATTTGGGGTAGAGATGCACCGTTCCACTTTTTTCACTTTTAGTACTGATACCAATATCTGAGGTTTAGTATCGGTCGATATCGATCCGATACAGAAAAACAGCTGAACTGGCTGAAAGTGTTTCTTTTTTTTTTCAGCAAAGATGTAAAAGTACTGAATTACAAATTTATTTGATAACTGTGCACCAGTGCAGCTCACTTAAAAACAAAAAAGCTTCACAAGCTGGCAAACGTGTCAAATCAACTTTAATTTGTTCAGTCAGTGCAGTTAGGAGTTAAGCAGCCAATGTAAAATAAACACTGAAGAAACTGAAACTGACACAAACAACAGGTTGACTGCTTTAGTCAAACGAGCAAACTGCAACAAATCTTCTTTCAAATGGTTCAGAAAGGAATTCTAAATATAATATAAATAATAAATAACGACGTCGCTCAGAGGACAAAGCGTAGAATTAAACTCAATAGATCTGTCCGTATAGATTGGGCACAATGTCATAGACATTTTTTCTCAATATTGGGACCAATGCAGCTATTGATATTGGATTTGTGCATCTCTAATTTGAAGGTTGTTCTTCATCCCCACAGCATGATGCTTCCTCCACCATGCTTGACGGTGAACATACAGTGTTGACACCTTCAAACAGACTTCCTGTCTCTTTGGTCAACGTTTTTCCAGAAGACATCTGCATTTTCTCTGTGAACAGCTGCAAACTCAGTCAAACTTGATGTTATCCGTGTTTGAGCCTCTCATTTCATAATGACTTAAAGATGACTCCATTTTGGAAACTGGCATTAATAATCCGGTAGTTTCCAGTTTCTGAACATCCTAACCTGTTTGCCTCTCAGGGGGACAGTTTTGGCCAGATGGCTGAACTTTGGACATGGCTGGGTGTTCCAGCAGGAAATGATCCCAAACACACATCCAAACTGCTTTTGGAACGCAGGCAGTTTCCATTTGTCATGCAGGAACACCAAAATAAAAGCGCTGCATGCAGTTACTCCACTAGGGGGTGCTGTCCACCAAAACACAGATCATCTGATCCACATGGTGCTGTGTTAGTAAAGTTACAACACAGCATCATTCATGCACGTTTCAGAGAAAGTTCTGATTTAAATTGGTACAAATTGGACTCACTGCCTGGATGTTCAAGGTGGGCTCAGGTCAGGTGAGGTACCTGAAAGTCGTCCACAGAGGGGGCGGAGCGCTGCGACGTTCGCCGGCGGTGCCACTGGTGCAGCGTGTTCCTGGCCTCAGAGCTCAGAACCTGGGCCGCCTGCTCCTCCTGGAAGTTCTTGATGAGCGCCATGGCGCCGTAAGCGCTGGTCAGATAGTAACCACCTGGAGGAGCAGGGAAACAACAATATAAATATTTCTGCTTTATATTCAGAGTCAGTTTTATCTTACGTCAGCGTGTTTAAAATCATCAGTCTGAAGCACTTTTTCTCATTAGGTTAAATAATTATCTCAGAGTAACAGATTTTAACACTGCTGTTCAAAATGAATAACATTTGAAGCAGAACAGACGTAACAGGCTGAACATGTGATCATTTCTTTGTTGCTTTTGTATTTATAATTATTCATGTTTTTCATTGGTTCAAAGCAGCTTCCGGTCCTTTTACTTCACTTATTTGTGTTAGTTTGCTAGAACAGGAATTAAACTTTACAGTACACTAATGCATCTATAGCTCAAAACTAGCTGAACCCCCCGGCTTTTTAATGTAATTAAGACTCAGGAAGGAGAAAACAAAAACAATCCTAAAATAATGACAAAAATAGGCAGAGTTTATCAGACAGGAAATTTCACATTAATCTCTGACAGAAAAAGCAGGATATCCTGAAAATGATTTGCTTACATATCTGAACCAGTGACGCTAACTGCAGCCAGAACACAGTAATAATAATAATAATAATAATAATAATAATAAAGATAATCTGGTGATACATTCTGAATTTAATGAGAAATAAGAAGAATGAGTCTAGAAAGAAGGTAGAATATCAAACTTTATACTCTTATGAACGGATGTTGTATTATTATTAATTCAAGTACAAATTCTAACTTAAACTGTGTTAGTTTTAAGTTAGCTAACTTAAACAACTGAACCCATGAGTGAAGGTCTGTTCCAAAGAAACATTTCCTGAAGTGCAAACATTGCAGGTAGGAGTGATTTCAAATGAGATCCTGCTGAGGATGAGATAATATAGTAGGACATGATTTGTCTGACCTATGGAGGGAATCAACATGGTTGAAGTTAATGCTTTAGCATTAGTGGAACTAATATTGATGATTAGTGCCAACTAACATTTTAAATTAGCTAAAAAATGAGCTCCACTATAAATTTGGTCAGAAACTTTTACATCCCAGATCTTCTTCTTGGTGAGCTTAAGAAGCGCTCTGATTTCATCTGTCGTCTTTTTTTAGGGTTTAGTTATTTTTAAACAGGTGGTTCTCTTTTTATGTTTTTTCTACATAAAAAACATATTTTTGTTGTACAATTTCTGCCTCAAAATAAGGAACCCACAACTCAACTGGTTAATTTATAAAGAAATGAAACCAGATGAGGCATAAATTACGAAATAAAAGCTTAAACTTCCTTTCTTTAAAACAGAAACCGTTTGGTTCTGTCTGAGGCCAGGTTACCTCCAGCTCCTTACATCGGCCTGTGTGCCACGCAGGTTGACTCTGATAGGAAAATATTTCACCATGCGA